GTATTAAGGATGTAGGTATTAAGTACGAGTATACCAAAATATCGATTATTGTTTATATTTCACACCTCAAAACCTGGAATCTGAGATAATTTATATATCTGAGCATACACCCCCCATCCACCACCATCGAGTATTTAAATACGTTTAAAACAAATGTCGATTCGATAAAACAGGAAGTGGTTGCTCTAGTCTAGAAAAAACTAAAATTATATCCCTACTTTTATATTATTTAATATTGCTAATTACCCGATTTTAGTATCTGACGTAAAATATTATGTTACATTATTTGTTATGGATACGTTAACACTAAACACACACGTGAAATCGACATTTACTTTCCGACGAAAACAGAACAAACGATGGGCTTGTTTAATACACATTATTACTAAAAGCGTCCCCGAGAACGATAATAACATTAATTTTATCGTCTTACAATAATATGTACCGAAAGCGGTCCTCATAGAGCAGTCTTTAGTCACACATTTTACTCATCATCCGAACATGAATAGTGGCATGGCGCCTATATACGTTCCATAGTGTACGCAATATTATTATATTATATTGTAACCGGTGTTATTATATTATATTACGTGCGCTGTAAAAAAAAAAAATGTTGTGTGACACGACAATAACAAGAAAAGTTAATATGGAATCGGGTACCTGTACATGGACATAAATCGTGTAACAATAATATATGCAACATATTTAGATGAAAAAATGCATATAAACCTGTGTACATATATATATAATCCTCCGGTCGTATTCGCTCGTGAGCTATTCGGCTTTACAATACTATTTAATCGTGAATATTATAGTATGCCCACGATATTATGTAAACGTCATAAAAGAAAGCAACGGTATAAAATATTTGATATTCCATCAGCCGTTAAACAAAACGCCGCCGAAAGTTTAAGTGAAATATGTTTTTGTTTTCTCGGAAACGATTGTATAATATCTTGGTCACCGCTAAATTATCAATAACGCATATAATTCTGTGTCGAAGTCGATATCCCAACTCATTTTTGAACTGTAGGTGTATTTTATAGGACTATATTATTGCAAAAGTACTAAATTTTTATCTTGTTGAATTTTTAGATTTATCATCAATACCTATTGGGTTTATTTGTAGATCCGTTTAAGTTTAGGTAGTGCATAATATTTTCTTTTGATTACGCTCCTCTTATGATCGAATATCTCATATATTTTGTGAGCACCGTACCTCGCAACAAATATATTGTGCTATAAAATATCAAATTTAAATAAATATGGTTAGGTTACGTGGTTAAAACAATTAAAATACCATAATTATGATAAAAATGTGTAGTTTTTTTTTTTTTTTTTGTCGCAAATATATAAGATTTGTATGTGATGTACGAGGTGAATAGGTTCTAGTACTTAGGATCTGCGATACAAAAGAATGGTAGTTTTGAGAACGCTGATAAAAATAGATATGCGGATGGATAAAATATTTAAGTAATATATAGATTTTAATAAATCGGTTATAATTTACGTTACAATATTATTATTGCTTTCTGCATAATATGTTATATCTACATTTTTAAATTGTCTATGCTTACTTTTCAATTAACTTTTGAAATTGTTGAAGTATCAACTTTTACCTAACTCCAATTTTTCAAATAAAAACCAACAATCAAGTGTGAGCATCTAATAAGACAAACATTTTAAAAAAAACCATCGGCTGGGATTCAAAAGCGTTGCTGGAACATTCTGTATACATCTTGCCAGTCATCAGTGCCTAATATTATATTATAATCTGCATAATGCATAATATAAAACAATAAGGACATTCATATGGCCCATAATGTATAAAATATAATAAATGGAATGTTTAAGTGATATACGTGATGCTTTGTACGTGCTTACAATATTTCAGCGTGTATTCCAATATATAATAATGGTGCATTTACTGAATTTTGTACATAATATAGCATATATATATATCGCATGCGCTGTCTGCAAAAAATAAACGTTCACTGTTAAACAATTGATATTTAACATAAAATTAATGTTTTTCAGTCACATTACACACAAAATATTTAAACATTAAGTAATTAAATTGTGGCCACTTTATTAATATTTTATGAAAAAGTGATTTTATTTTTTAAATCTTATTTTATTATTAAAAATACTACGGTATTAGGCACCTTTTTTCAAATCAACCAATTTAACCAAAATTGAATGCTGATAAACATACCTATACAATTTGGATAATTAATAAATTAATGGGGAGTAAGTTAATAAAACATAATCAAATATATTTGATAAATTAATAGATTTAGCATTTTTGTCCCCACTCTGATACCTTCAACGTTGGTTTTTCCTTCAAATCTTTACATGTACTTAGGGTATGGCTTACAAAAAATAAATAGAAAGATATTAGATACTATAGATAGCTTACTATCAGAATTATTAAATATTGTTTTAAATTGGAATAATATTGAAACTTATTACCTGATGCCCCAATTCATACACAGTAATTACTAAAAAGACAATTATGATTATGATGAAAATGAAAACATCCAATATGATAATGTCGGTATTGATCACAAAAACGTTTACAAAGATGTATGGGAAAAAAAGGTGTTTGTAAACTTCGTTTTAAGCTACTTTGACATTTTAATGAAGCACCTTTACGCTTATTATACCTATCAATAAATAACAATCAACATTCGCGTATAATTGCCTTCTTCTCTTCCCTTTAACATGAGTAATGGCCAATCTATTATTTAAATTTATTGAGTTTTTTTCGTGTTACCTGCTTGAGTACGTGGTGTCAGAAGCTTTTATGAATTGTATACCTTCCAATGAAAAAATATCAAAAATTAAAGATTATGGTAAAGTTATTGAACAAATGTAAAGTAAATTTAAAAGTAAAAGTAAATTTCTTCGCAGGGAGATTAACTATTATTATAAGTGTCAGACAATGAAACATTTTAAAAAACACACTCTACGAACCAATCGTATCATTTAGCTGGGTTTGGGCATCACTGATATCTATTTTAGGGGGATTGAGTGTGCGGATATTATCGTAAAGACGTGACACAAATTGGCATTCACAGTGCACATATCATTTATATAATTTTGTATTGTATAACTAATATTTAAACTAGACGTCAAGGATGTAAATAATTGCAAATTGTTTTGTTTAGATTCCAATTTTTATATTTTGTAAAATTTAATTTGTTATTGATAATGTAGTGATAAAACCTTCCAAACCAAGTGGTTAAAAATAAACATTTATTTTCTAATTAAATATTATACTCGATGAGATGATAATATATATGTGGCTGCTTATTAGACGAATCCCAGATACACCATACGTACGTATCTCTAAAATTTGTGATAATAATGATGATTATTATTATGTTGACAGAAAAATATAAAATAGGGTAAAATATTATAATAGTATACAACATTTTATTATTTGTAGCACTGGCACTATTAGTAGGTAACTCGTTATTATCAGACAAAAATAATCCGAAAGGGATTATGGCATAAATACGCTTATGACTGACGACTGTATACAGTATACTTAAATACTTTCATAATGATACTGTGTATATTACATGATTTTTATGAGAAAAATTGTTTACAAAGATTTAGAAAAATGAATTTTATATTTTCAATCTTTTCGTGTGTTATCATTTATTGATTTAACTGCCACGAAAAGATTATTGAAACGAAAAAAATACCATATTTCAATATGAGCTGTATTGCAATACCATTCTACACATGTGACGTACGTATACACAAATATAAAACGTACTTGCTTTAGGTACGTCCACGTCATTATATATTTTAAGGGCAATGTGAACTGTGAATAAAAATAACGAACAAATGTGTTTTTATTATTAATGGTATTTTGAATTATTAAACACAACACTTAAGCATATTAAAATAAGTTAATTGTAGTTTATTAAAATGAAGTAATATCATTTAAACTCCAATCACATTTCAACATATTATCATGTTACTTTAATAACTCAGAAATTAGGTATCTACACATTCAAATTTTGATTTATATACGTTCAAATTCTTAAGAAAATTATTTATATTCAATAATAAAATGCGGTTCGAACTCGAAAAGAACAATTTTTCGTCTCAAAACAATTCTTAAAATATTACTAAATAATGTGTATAAATATTTAAAAATATGAAATTCAGAATGAATAATCAGAATGTGAAAAAAATGCAAACATGTATACATCGCGGTTGAGTAGAATTTTCCTTTTAAAAAATTATTCCTGTGTAATAGTTTCAGATCATGCTGCATTTGAAACTAGGCATTTCTACTAGGTCACAATAAAATATGTTTGTAAGCCACCTGTAATAATTTTTAGAATACAATGAAAAGGGAATTTTGAAGCATCATTATGTTTTAGATATTTCTAATTCCGCTAAGAATAATTTTCGTTTCACAGGTGCTCAAAATACTTTGTGTCCTGACTCCTGACACCCACAGTCCACACAATGTTAAATTATCTAAACGACTTCAGACTAAAATCTACCAATATATTTTTTTTTCTTTCCTATTTTTGTAATAATTTATTATACCGTTTATCATATGTAATAGTTGAAAAAGTTACTATCATATAATAATAATTAAGATGGTGCTTAACTCAAAATATATTTAATAATTGTCTATTGACTATTGCTGCTCCAATTTTAAGTAATAAAACGAGTATTTTATTTGGAGGATGTTTCATATGAGCATGTTACATGTAAATAAATGTGACATATATATTAATAAACAATATTTACGAACCTCAAAAAATCGAACATCACCTTCTAAATATTGATAGATATAAATGTGTACATTGTATAACGATCACTATTATTTTTATATTATCTAAAAAAATATAGACGATTTGTACTTAAATAACTATAGTAATGGTTCACATTGAATATAAATAAGTCAGTAACGTTTAAATATCAGTCAACAATTTATATAAATAATACATTTTCTTTAATATATAATGATGAAATTCGCCAAAAGAGTAGAAAAAAGAAAAGTTCGGTCAATAAAACTCCAAATCGAACACCTTGATAAAGCTTTTCACAGTTTGTGCACTGAAAAAAAAAATTTACAATTGAATTTTGAAAATTCGATGATCGGCCAAGAAGTTAAGTTGTTACGTAAAACTATAGAAGATCAATATTCGATTATTGGAACTTTTAGTGTCACCGATAGTGTAAATAAAATGAAAGCGATTTTGGAAAAGAACACGAAGATTGAAATTATTGAGAGAAAACTAAACGAAAGAAATATGTTGATTCTTGAATCAAAGGAACTTGATAAGGCTTTGAAAACAGTGAAACGAGAACAGGAAGAGTTCTCGAACCAATTTACCCAATTGGAAAAGGAACGACGTGTGTTGGCTCATTTGATATCATCTAATGATGAAGAGAAAAATAACAAAAATATTATTGAACAATAAAATCATAATTTTCAAGTGTAATACATTTTATACTTATATTTTGTTAAAAGTTTATAGTACCTAAGTTACAACTTTAAATTGGATGTGAAGTAGACGTCGACTTTTTAAATTAGGTTAAATATTTTTGTTTGATACTTATAATTTTATATGCTAAATATTTTGTTTTTATTCATTTTAATTTTACACAAATATCTTTAAAAATCGTGAGAATCATAATAATTGTACATTTGTGAAGTATATGGGTACCTTCAAAAATTCTTGCATAGAATGCCATGCTTATGAATGCATAATGTATTCATTTATTGGAAAACTGTAAGCTATGCGTAGGAATTCTATGTTTTAAGTATTAATATTATTATAGTGAAATTTATATTATTTGTTTACAGTATTTTGCAAATTTTTGGTTTTAATATTTAATTGGTTCATCGAAAATGCAAATTTTAATAAATATTTCTGTTTGAAAATCCTTCTTGAAATTTATTTAGATGAGTTGAATAATGTATAGTTATATTTTGGCATAATTATTGATGCAAATTTTACAACTGACGTGCTAATTACCTACTATTACTTGATATTTCTGTTACCTTTCTGTAATTAAAATACCTAGATAAAATCGAAATAAGGAATTGTGGACGGAGTACACCTTTGCGGCTTTACCCATGCATGAGCATTGAGAAGACTTATCAGTTAAAATATAGACATCACACGACCACACCATCGCCATGGAAAATTTTCCTTCGAAAAACCCAATTAATTTCGTTGTTAGATTGAATTGACTTATTATTAAATTTAAAGCTAAAAATATTATCTTTTTTGTACTTTTTTTGAGTTGAATGGACAGTAAAAATAAAACAAGAACAGTTCATCACATAAGCTTGCATGTACAACGGTTCATATTCAATATAAATAGTCTTGTTGTATTTTAATATCAGCCTTCAAATAAATAATACATTTTTAAATATTAATTTACCTACATAATGATGAAAATAATGAAATTCGCCAAAACAATAAAAACAATAAAAGTACGGTCAGTAGATTTCCAAACCAATATCCTTAATGATGCTTCTCACTCTTTGTGCAATGAGAAACTACAAAAAAATTGGTTCTTTCAAAGGTAAATCGATTTGTTAATGATGAAGCTTTGTAACACAGAGAGTTGTGGTATCTTTTTCTTAAGGTGTCGTTTTCCCAAATTCATTAAAATTTATATTTTAATTGCAACATTGATTATTATACTTTTCCACTAATGTACATTTTGACACCTATTTAAGAGGAGGTTAGTACTTAGAAAGGTGTATTATATTAATAAAAATTACTTCACATGACTATTTGTGGAGAATATATTTTTGAGAACAAAATTACACTAGCACCAGGTGTTTATAGTAACATCTGTGGGCAAATGTAAACTCTGTTCACGATTACCTCATTTGTTGTGAACTGGGCGTCTAGACATGACAATTACAGGTAATGCCGATTGATAACTTGGCCAGATAAATGTAGTTTATTATTACTTTCGTTTTGTAAAACAACCTCTATTTCGCTTATGAAATCTGTGATAGGTAACTACTGATAGTCTCATGTTCATCTTTCTTACTTCATACTTTATGTAACATCCTAATTGCATGTCCATTCATTGAAGTTAAAAAAATAATAATTAAGAAGTGGTCTATAGCTATATGAGATATAGAACATACACATCTGAAATAATATTTTAATAACGAACAAGGTGCTTAACCTAAAATGTATTTAATAATTATGTGTTGGCTATTTTTGTTCCAATTAGATATGTAATATAATTTATGGTTTTTTTTAAGATCCTTTGTGAAACTGATGACATTTTGTCCAAATAAATTGTATATTAAGATTTGCTAGATAAAATAATATATCATATCAAAATAGTTAACGTTCCACAAAATTTTTTCTTACGGAAACTAAAAATATCGAAATAACACAGTCCCAATAATTTGTTCTACAAGTATAAAGAGAAACAACTTTCTAAATCTCTGATCATTTGATCACTGATCAGCATAACCAAGTTAAAACAACATAAAACGTTGGACGGCGCATTATATAGGCAATACAGTTACACTGTATCACAATAAATGCTTATATTATATTTAATTCTGAACGACATGGGTACTTTAATATTATATTTTTAACTAATTGCTTGATTTTAGATATACCATATTGTACGCCTGGTTCCTTTGGAGCTCCGTTACTGTAGAATATTTTTTTTTTTCTGTATCGTTACTGTTCTGTGTATTTGTTTAAATGTTAATGATGGATTTCTCATTTTTAAAAACTATTAAGTGCTTTTTGATACTCTGCTTACAATTGAGATTAACATTTAGAATTTTGAATCTAAACATAAAGTCTACATTATTTAGTCGAATAATTATTTTACTCGGACGATTTTTTGAAACAATATAATTCTCATTGAAATTATACTAGCAACTATAAATGGTAATACATCAATTATAAAAGTCCGTATGATTTTAGCGTATTATAACCTAGTTATATTATAATTCAAAACTTAAAATACTTCGTAATAATTTAATATAGCACAATTTTTTTTATTATAACTTCATGATAAATAGAATAAAATAGAATATTGATCATTACTAAGTTCAAAGAAGATTATATAATTTTAATAATACACCATCAACTATTTATTTAAACATACTATATATTAATATGTTACAAAAATTCCATTGAAATTCAAAGTCAGCTTACTTTTCTAATATTTCTCTTTTGGTTTTATGGTCTCTACTCTCTAAGGACGTCACATCTCACACCCAATTCTTTGTCCTTCTTAATCGGTTGCATTTTCTTTCCAGTTTGAGCCTGTTATAGATAATTTCACCCTTTTTTATTATATCCTATCATCTCGCTCTTTGCCTTTCCTAAGCTCATTTTCCACATAGATTTTGCTTCATCCCCCCTCTTTTATAAGCCCATATTGACACATCTAAGTAGGTATGTACCAGTACCACTCATTATAATCTTCCATTTTTTATTATGTCTATTATACTTGTACTTAAGAATAAAGCTTCAAGCACTGAGATCCTTCCTTCTTCAATGACTGATATCTTTGTTTGTTTCAAACAGATTCCGTAATATTTTTCTTAATAGTAATAATAACTTTTTCTCATTGGCATATTTCTAAATCACACAGGATTACTTCACGAATCAAAGCAACACATAGTTGCTTTTTTAAAATAATTTTGTTAACGATCGTGATCCCAATATTTTTTTTCCAGACTTAACCTCCACTTATCTGTAATTAGCTACTTCACCATGTTCAATTATTAGTGTTCCGAAATATTTACATACTTCAACTCTATTAAAACTATTTCCGATCTCTGAAAATGTAATAATTCACTTCTTCTATGTGTGCTTTTAAACTACATTTTATTTATTTAGCAAAGTTGTGTGTATAATATATTATATATAATAGTGCACCGATCGTATTCTTGATTCCAAGAATTGAACGAAACTCGGGCAGCTTATCGAAATTAAACTGAAGTTTACTTACTACCTTTCAAATGTAATATTTACCAACATATATATATCGACTAAGAATTTTCTACAAACCAATAATAAAAACTTTAAATGTTTGTTGAAACTGTTTTCAATATTCTTCTTAAATACTTAAAATGATAGTTACTACCAACCATGCTAATCGAGTTTGTAATAATTCAATGAATGTAAATCTTTGGTTAAGACTGCAGCTTCATATTATAAGTATTCATGTCTACCTATTACCTACTAACTATTATCAATTTATTTTTATTTTTATTAAATTAATTATTTATTTTAATTTAATTTATTGCCAATGCCTAAAAGTGACTTCACACTGCTCCATGAACTGTGAACAGTGGTTTCTGGAGAAAAAAATTCACCACTGTGATTGGCTGAATCTAGAGGTTAGTAATAGTGGTATACTACAATGTTGCTACAGTATATTTCATGTACCAGAAAGTAGAATCCAATCCTAATGGTATATTTTATATTAGTCACCACTAACCATTTAATTATATCAATACGAATATTTAAATCATTATAATATTACATACAAAATCACCTACCGTAAATCAAAAAATGATTTTTTCGGGAATCACGATTCAGTGCTAAGTCTTCCTAATGGTAATGTTTCTTCTGGATATTAACAGACTAGACGATTATTACATAATAAAAAGGTGTGCAAGACCATCTAATACATGTTTTTCCAATTTTATATTTTTCAGTAGGCGTTATTTTGAAAACAACCATGCATAACAATCACGAATCAAGCACTATTGTAATCCAGTACCCATAAGATAAGTATCCTATATGTTATGTCATAACACACACGCTTATTAGGTTAGGCATAGACAATATTTAATAACCGAACCTACAATTATTGCTCGAAAAAGAAATAAAACGTTTTGCGTTTAATACATTCGAACCACACGGCCATCAATTTTAGAGTTTTTTTTTATTTTAAAAATGCAAAGGGTGGTTGACATTTAGGGTAGTAGACGCAGGTATACGCCCCAATCCGATATACATACACAAGCGGTAAAAGCGGTCACCGAACCGGGTCCTGCCAAACATAATATAATGTATATTTATCGTTTATACTAAGCTACGACGTGGTGGTCAAAGATGTAATTTTGTAAAATAACTATTTACAATAGTCGATAACAAACGTCAGCTTATATAAAATGGGAATGATTTTGTTAGTTGGATATTGATGACGGGTCAATTAATTTCAACGTCCCAGTGAAATATAGAAGAAAAAAATGTATACAGGCTCATGCTCAATATTGTCAGTCTAATAATAAGCACAGTAAATTAATTATGATTTAATATTATTAACAAATTGTAAATGTATATAAAAAATACTTAAATAAAATAACTATAAAAATTACAAAATGTGTTGTAAAAAGAGTCTTACTTTTATACTATAGTCTTATTGTAATATGATAAAATACCCAACAATGAAACACCTGCTTAAT